TTCAAGATTGTAGGGTCTTTTCCTGAGCACTTCACTATGATTGATTGCATCCTCTCCTAAAACTGATCTTTATTGTCCTTATCGCTGTCATTGGTGGGTGCATAACATTGAGTGATAATCATTGTGATCTGATGATTCTGGATTCATGAGATTTCCATCATATAAGTGCTTTACGTGCTTCTTTGGACAGGATCAGAGCAACTCCCTGAGTGTGTGGAGTATTTTCTTTTTCGTGACCAGAGTAAAGCAACATCTCTCCCGTATCTAGCCTTTGCTGCACATTTTGGGTCAAGTGGTTTTCGCTGATTCCGAGCACCGTCAATTTGTTTCTCCTCATTTCCGTAGCAATTTGTTTAGTCCTCCTGGTCTCCCACACTTTCTGTACATTCCATGTACGCATATTAATTGTTGCTGTGGTTGTTAGAATGGGGATTGGTCTGGTGACTTTGGAAGAATCTCGTCATTCAGCATGAGACATCATAATTGTTTTGACTGAAGATCGTTGAACTCGGAGGACAGAGTTTAAATGATTGAATTTGTTTAATCTGGTTAGTGTTTTTGTCAGAAATTTTGTTTTCCACTGGATGTGGTTGCTGACACCATGCCCAACCGCAGCCTTCAATACTGCTTGGTACCGGCAATAGCTGTAGAAGAGCTACCGAGTGTCTACATATAAGTATATATGTATTCTACCATATGAAGTTCGCAGGAAATATGTTTTAGAAGTGGTGTGTGTTAGTGAGAGAAAAATGTGATCATTGGAAAAAATAAGCACAGTCTGCTAATTACCAAATATATGATTTCCTTTTATCACATTGATTTCTGCGAACTCGCCGAGTGGTACTTCTCTTGACTTTGTTGAAGAAAGTATTATCTTGTGTTAATCTGTTTCTTTATTCTGGGTTGTGAGTCTGAAGTAACATGACTAGTGTGATTATCGTATTAACGTGTTGCCTTAATATCCCTGAGAGGGGATAATAATTTAAACCATCCGTTATATCAGCAAGACCCTTTTGAAATTGAGTAACTGTTCGTCATTATAATACTGAATAAACAGTAAGGTAAATTATGTTTACGTATACAGAACTTGATCTATTACAGTCTTTTTTGTAGAAATCGACGTAAATATAATGAAATTTTTCATCTATATTTGCTAGAAAATTCACTTCATGGTCTATGGTTCATATTGACCTCAATAAACTATTGTGCGATTATTTAATATTAAAGACGAAATAATTGTTAAACCTAATTAGCTGTATATTAGATTATCGTTATTGTCAAACAAACATGAATTTAATTTTCATACTTATATGTATAACAGCTTTAGTTTTCTTCTAAAAGAGGATACATATATGCGCAGATAATTGTTCAGTAGTCTCTTGTTTTCCATTAGTTTTTTCACCTATCACTGATTTCTAATGAGAAAGTGCTCATGTTTTAGTCGAGAAGCACAACTTTTATGAAAGCTACAACAACTGTACTCCTTTCAATATACGGACAAACTATCCTTTGACAGTACCAACATTTCGTATAGTCAGCCCATGAAGTAATTGACTGTTGAAATAAGCTTTGTGAACTAGTTTTTACTGATACAGTATTCGTAAACTATGATTGAACCTGTTGAATGACACGGTTCAAAATCAGTTGTATTGATGTAATTTCTCCATTGTCTATCTTTTCAATCATAAACATATTACAACTTCCTACTTTTCACTCCCTTATCGTGTTAAGTCGTACATCTCTGGCTTAATTTTCAGTAAAATCGATATTATCATGCCTTTTCTTTCTGTTGTTGTTCACTTCGTTGATTTCTCTAACTGTCCATTTACATGAAGGATGTGGTAACGCAAATCGATCCACTTACTTGAAGTATTCGAAGTTGGTGGTTACATTCAGTTCTGTTATTCAACTTATTGTTATTAGTGCGAGGAAAAGTCCAAGTTTTTCCACATAATATTTTTAGATCTGGGATTATAATTGTAAGCCTATCTTGTATAAAACACCACACAGTTACGTCAAGTGAGAATACACACACCTCTTCCTCATCATTCATTTAATGATTTTCAATTACTTTATTTGGGTTGCTTTAAGATGGTGGTTGGAGATAGTCAACAGGAAACCCTAAACCTAGGTTTCGTGCTACTTGGCACTCGTCAGCAAGGTGTATCTGTAATCCTAAGGGAGCTGATGCTCCCTGACGAATTTGATTTGCACTAAGAAAGACCTGACATACACGACATTGATTACCCATTGATCAATCAATTGAGTTGCTTTCTTTGTTCTGTAAATGATTTTGGTTATGGCTATCGTTATTACATTCACGTATACTTTTTTTAATTTCAAGCGTACGTCACACATGTATATGGTATTCGAACAACAGTGTATTGTTTAAAAATGTTTCCTAATAAGCAATTATATGACGTAATCATACATTATCACTAACATATTTCTCTCCCTAGTATCAGTTGTCTAATTTCAGACTTTAACTATCGATTATATCACGTCAAGCTCACGCATGAAATCACATGTGTTGTGATTACGTATTTATGATGCAAACGTCTGCTTCGTTTGTTTATATATTGTATTCGTTGTACGTGTGTATGCTTGTTTTCTGATTTCTTTGTTCAAGTCTACGCTCATTTTTTTCTATAGTTTATACACAATTATCAGCTGATGATTTATCAAATGTTCCGTATAAGAGAAAAAACGTCATCAATGGTCAATACTTTATCGAGATGTCTGTCTCAAACAGTTGAAAATTTAGTTTAGCATCATGTATATGTAGTGTTAACATATTAACTTTTCAAGGTATTGAAGATGATTTTATGTACCTAGTCATAAGATGTTAGTGATTATTTTATTTATTTATTTAGTTCACATATAATCTGGTACAGAGTTGGGTACCAAAAGTAGTATATGCCACACGAACTTTGTGTGTGTGTGGGGGGGTAAGATAATGTTCTAGGTTCTAAAATAGAAGGTGGTTTAGTTAGTAGGTAACTCCCCGAGCCTTTCACCTAAAAGCTTAGTTAATAAGGTAGCAGAGTATCGTCAAAATCTACCGTGATAAAAAACAGATTCATATGCTGGTTTTAGTCCTCCACATACACTATTGGTTTAACATTAGGGTTTTCCATTTACCCCCTAAATAAATCCTCCATATCGGTTAAACTGGTATGTGTACCACATGTTATTACAATCTATTCCCGTCATAAATTTGAACAAAGTAAGGACGGTAATATTTCCAGAGTGATCATCACATTGTTTTTGTGTACTTTATTTATTCTCTTTCTTTGTTACGGCTTACCTTAACCTGTCTAGTTGACCTTTTAATTTTCATATAAAAATGTCTTAACAAGTATATGTGTGATCACACTGTTCGAAATGTATTGCGCAAATATATCACATAATTCTGATAAACTTCGTCTTCTCATTGCGTTATCGAAATTTCCAGAATACATCAAATTCATTGTATTTTGTTGTTTTTTTTCTTCATCTAACATAAAAACTAGTAATATTTACTTATTTCCAATCTTCAATCTAAAATGGATTTTAAATAACCAATAGATCGTCTGGAATGTAAAAAAGAGTTGGTATTTTTGAAACAGGTTTTTTATAATTGGTCAAGATGATAGTTCTAGAAAATATTCAAGATATTGTCTGCGTAATATAACAAAATTTGTTTTCGGAAGTTTATGAATGAAACCAAGGGCGTGTGGGTTTAACCCACGGGATTATATTCACATTCCTTTTTCTAAATTCCAAAAAACATACTCGTTAGGGACAGTTGGTTTTTAAGATTTAAGAGTGTGTTAGTATTTTGTTGAAATCATGAACTGATCTGAGTTAGATAGCCATTGAAAACTTAGAAACACTAAACGACCGTATCAAACTAGTATAGGACTCCTTAGATGTGCGCATCCACAACCCCGCTTCACAGGGAATCGGACCCAGAACACTCAGACCCGTACACGAACACATCCCCCCTAAACCGCTGAGCTGACATCCAACGGTGTTCATGTCTAAACTCAATCAATTCACAACATTGCGCAACCATCTTCCGTTGTTTTCGGTGGGTAATTGTCTCACACCTAACGTGGATTACCTGCAGTGGTCACGACTCCTTACTATAATTCTGAAAATCTTCTCTCGAAGCTAGTCACCAATGAGCACACGGTGGTTGTCAATTTGGGTTTGTGAAGACTGTTGAGTTTCATTAAAATCAACATCTCTGTGAAGTTCAATAGTATATGGAGACAGTCGTCTAGTGCTTCCAGGTTTTAGATGTTTGTCTAACCTAAATCAGTTTATGATTTCAATGAACTTCAACCATCTGTATTACTTTATTAAAATCCAATCAGTAACGGAAACATATGAATCTTTTCGTACTTATATTTTTTAATCTCTTTATAAATAGTGTGTACGTTGCTGATACTTAAGTTTGTTCTCATGCTAAAATTATTTGACACGAACTTTTGTTCCTGATTGTTTAAACGTAGTAACCACTCACATTGTTTTACGTACACCACCTTATGTAACTGCTGTTCAATCTATCATGTTAAATTTGATTATTCTGAGTCACAGAATGCTATATATATATATATATATATATATATATATATATATATATATATTCATTTTGTTCATACTTCATCTTCGTTGATCTACGTTCATAATATATTCGAGATTAGTTGTAAACACACACTGATCATCAGGCAGTGTAAAATTTCTCCCAACTGTTTCCTCTACAATAGTACTAGCAATTTGGCATTGACATACACTATATTTTTCGGATATTCATATGTAGCTAGAAATGTTCGATAGTTATTTTTATAACTAGGTTTTCGATTGTCCGCTCGTATAGACAAAATGTATTCATCAATCCTAACTGAATCATTTCCTATCTTTCACTCACAAAAAGATCAATTTTGACTGCAACTTCGAATACGTTGTTTTACACTGTAGATCTATAAGCTTTCATCACGTTTTCTGCTTTACAGCATGTGAACAAGTAATACGTAGTATGTTGTCGAAAGAACCGAGCGATCGCCCAACAACAAAACGTATCAGTCTATTTCCATGGTTCACTTCATCAACAATTCCACATAATCGTTATCATGATAAACTAATTGCAAATGTTATGTCTAATTCGTTGGCCACAATGCATTTAACTAACAAACCTGTCCCTACGCAAACAACATTACAACAAACGTTGTCACCCTGTGGTGCTAATACAAATATTCTAAATAAATCTACGGACTATGATTTAGTTCAACCCACGTTTATTTTGAAACATTGTTCTTGTGATTGCTCTTCAAAATTCTCATGGAGTAAAGACGATTTACAAAGTCCTGGTCCTAATTTAGCGGCTGAAATGAAAGTAAGTCATTTTTTCAAGTTAACACTTACGCTAATTTGATTTGCCTCTGTTATTTTTTTCTCTATCTAGTTAAGGCTTTTGATCGTATTAGGTGCTCTGAAATAGATGTTTTAATTGATATACCTTCGCTTTCTTTCTAGCCAGCATCATCAGTACTAACGTCAGATAGAGATGACCTTTTTAATTATTTCACAGGCCCCAAATCAGTTCTTTTTCATGACCTTGTTTGTAACTGGTTGTCTTCATAAGCTTTGTTGCTTTCATGTACCCTTACATTTTGGTCGACAATTTTTTTCGATTGACCTCTTATCATGTGAATAATCAACCTTTTTCTTGTGTACTGATAAACTGAATCGTTATCGGCATATCTATCGATTACAGATTAGACCAAACGTCATAATTTTAAGAATTCTCTGGTATCCTCTCAGTTTCTTCGATCGAGAATCCTAGCATTTTTCCTATCGAATTCATGTTCATAGTTATCTGTGCGCGCTGATATAAGTGATAACATGTGTCGTTAGACTGCTGGTCTTTGTACATAATAAGTCAAAACGGAAAACGGGTCACCGTTGTGAGCTACAAATCATCTAGTCCGCTCTCCCTCTCGAAATGCTCTCACATGGCCAGCTAATATATAACCTCTGCCAGGGAAGTCCTACTCACTGCTTTCTCGTGGCGCGGGTGTTGTTTACGAAATTGAGAGGACGAAAAGCGAATATCCGGCTCTTTAACTGGCTTGGTGGACAAGGCGAGTCCACCTAGGGGAGTTGGAAAACCCTGATTCCAAACCAATGGTGCATATGGGCTCCAGTATCCTGAAGGAACAAATGGCGTATGAACTAATCGTTGGTGACCGGCTACCATGGGACTGCATCTCCTGACGATGCTCCACTGCCTTGTGGATCAGATCTTTCGGTCAAAGGCTCCGGGTGTGGACCCCTAAGAAAACCACCTGCTTCAGTTCGGGTACCTGGGCAGTATCACAGCCCTCACACAAATCGAATGAGATTTGTGAGTCGCATATTTATCTGGTGCTTTCTTGTACCAATAAATAAAGTTTATGTAACTGGTGACTGGCGATTTCCTGCCACATACCACACCATCAATGGTCCGTATCGTCTCCACTGGGACCTGTTGATTGATGATCTGACTTCAATCCTGCACATATCTCATCAGTTAATTACTATTTTTACATAATTCCGTCCACATTAATAATTTATTGTATCGTGATTTAATGAAGTAAATAAGTTGAAGTATTGTGGAGATCACTGTATTTTGTTGTTTCTCAGTGCCCAATGCTTTTAAATCATATTTTTACGATTAGTGACTTTTCCTTCTGTTGCTATTTTTTTGAAGGTTGGTAAACTAAACGAATTAGTTATTATGATTATGGAGTCTTATGGAATGTGTCGCACTCAAATTCTCAAGGTGAGCTGTCATCTGAGTGAATTGTTTTTTCTAGTGATAAAAGTATGTTCATGTTTATTTATGATTTAGGTAACTGCTTATAAGATAATATATATAGGACCTAATTTTAAGCTATCAAATAACATATATTTCATTCAGAAGTGACTTTCAGGTTTGTAGTATTAAACATTATCGGAAACGCTGACGAGTATCATCTTAAAACACCATCCGTTTACTATAGTTTAGTATATTTTATGTAATTGGTTATATTATCTACTTATTCTGTTTAGTCGATCAACTTGACACCTCAATTGGAAAGTACTGTGGTTTTTTTATTAAGTATATAAGCGTAAATCTAGTCTAAGAATGTAATTGTAGGCATTTAACTCGATCTTTACATTTAACCGTTAAGTCAGTGAATTATTATCTCATTTTGACCAACATTAACTTTCAGCTCATGCGTTAACTGGTGCCCTCTGTCTGGAATTCATATTGTTTATATTGTATTTAGCTACCAATAGCATGGTGTGTTAACAAGTGTTGCTCCCTGTAAAGAACTTATCCAAGTTTTGGTTATAACTTATAATATGTCATTCCCATCTTACTGTATGGTGATCAACAAACTTTATCCTAAACGGACTGATCCAAGTGAATTAGTTGCATCCGTTATTGTTACCAAGCAACTAACTAACTGCCAAGTTATGGAAGAGTACAGATTATCATTGCCTACATTTATAAGATTATACAAAACTTGATGATAGCATGCCAATTCGTAATTTTCAGAGGCTCCTCAAATGGTTCAGCTGATTTATTTCCTCAACAACGTCGTTCAGATTGCCCCGTGCTCCTCCTTGGCCTATGACAACCGTTTCACTAAATGAAGCGGAAGTGTTCTAGCATTGTCTTCTAAGGAATGCTATACCTGAAAAATTTATCACTATCGCAAAGGCTCGATGTGAATATACTTTGGATGGATTGAGGTCAAAAAAACCATAAACAGCCTGTTATACAGTCTGTCGGTGGAAACAGCTCTTTGTTTTCTTGTTAAACTTGGCCTGCCTCAGCCGTAGGTAGTCGGTAACTCGGTGTACTCGATTATCACTGTTTGAAATATACTTGACAATAACTTTTTATCAGTTAGATGAATCCTTGAATGAATGAAATTTCGAACAACTGATCCCACATATACTTGTTAGGAACATTTATATATGAAGAATTAAACGGTCAACTAGACAAATGTAAGGTTAGAGGAAACAAACATAATAAGAAAATTTGTTAAAAACAATGTGAAACACCACGCAGGGTAATAGGACGATACCACTAAGGTACGTTAAGGGTGAAAACACATTGTTTTTGAAAACATGGAAAGGGTTTTGACTTTCGTGTGACCAAGGCTTCAATAAACCTTAATATACGTCCTTGAACACTTTTGTGCAAAACCACAAGAGCCGAGTTAAGATCACTGTTGTGACCTGTTTCAACTGCTCGTTTAGTGGATAGTGAATGTTCATCATCTACTCTTATTGAGTAATTTGATTTTATCATTCATCACACAGTTCTGGCCATTTTCATATTCTTATTACAACATCCAAATTTATCAAATAGGCTAACTGTTTTAAGTGAAATTTTTCTTCATAATTTAACTGTAACTATTAGTGATTACTATTCTTATCCATTATTGATATGAATTTTCTTTCTTCACTTTAAGATCCCTCACTATCTTTAGTGCACTTTTTTGCATGTCATATTTTATCAGAAGCACTAAACAATTTGGTAATGTACTGACTCCCCATACCAACCTAATCATAGTATGACTTCGGAAAGCTCTATTTGTTAGATTCATGTTATCAATTCACGTCTCATAATTCAACACAGCAACTGAAGGACTCATTAAAGCATACCTTCCATTAATTTCCTTCTTTTCTATTGCTTATTCTTGTGTTTTACAGTCACTTCTACGTTGTGCTTACGATCATCTGACAGCTACTTACCTCTTATTGGGCGAGAAATTACGTTTGCATAATCTGAACATTGATTCATCGACCACACCTATTACAGATTCTGGAATAATTATACCTAATTGTGACCATCCAACAACATCATGTTATTCAATTATGGCTCCTGAGCATAAAAGTTTCAATACCAGTCCTGATTCTGTTGTGATGCCGAATTCTATTCCATCACCCCAACCATTATCATCATCAGTCTCCCAAACACAACCGAACTATTCAGCTATACCTAAAAGTATACCTTCAGTTTTCCCACTGTCCTCTATAAATTCAATGAATATGGATCTTCCTTTATCTAGTTGCTCTTCATCTATGGAACAATTAGATGAATCTACAAATAATCTCAACTACTTTGCCGATACCTCAATCGATAATAGTGATCATAAAGACAGTATTTCACAAATAATCGATAAAACAGAAAGTGATGATTTAACTGTTGATTCAGCATATGGTGTTGCTTTACAGTCTACATATGTTAATAACTCTGCTTCAGATCGTATTATAGTAAGTCTTGATAATTCATTTGGCATTAGTGAGTGTTGCATTTTGTTTTTCACGTTGAAAATGACTATTTTATCATCGCGCTTGAATACAAAATTAACAAAGAGAAGTTTTATAGCAGTCATATTAAGATTCTAATATCTATTCAATACCACGAAAAATTACAGTCTGTTATGATGGTGATATACAGTTATTGATAAAATGCCAACTTGAAAACTAATGATATTCGATAGATTTTCGTCTATGACATCATCTGATAAAATGTTATGTGGAATAAAGCATGAGTGTAATGAATATGGACTGGAAAATGGAACCTCTGCATTAAGAAATAGTTTATAGTTCAGTTGATGTCTAACATTCATATACGTTTATATTGTATTTTAGTATTTAAAGTAGATAAAAAGAAATTAAAACAGCCGTAAAATAGTTTTTTAAAAATATGAATATAATTCATGAGTGGTAGAGAAAGGAAGTATATATTAACAGTTGCTATTGGAAAAATACTACAACGTCGGTTTGTACTGCAGGTTAATCTCTGCAAACTGCCTCATATTAAATCTATTAGATTGATTCAAGTTATCAAACACGAAAGACAATTGAATTAATCGAGTGATAATTTACTCTTTATGCAAGTCCAACTGGATCTCTATACTGCTTGAATAGTGTTCTTTTAGGAACTAAGCAATCATCAGGGTCAGTAAGATTATGCAAAGGTAATTTATAGGGGTAGTCATAACTCATTCATCATAACAGTGATAATAAGCTGTTATGACTAAAGATTGGTCGCCAATATTATGTCTGGGTGTGTCGTCACTTGATCCTGTTGGGTCCGTAGTCTTACTGCATATACTTGGAAATAAGATCCACTTTAATTCCTATGATGCAAGTAAGAACATGAAAAGCTGGTGAAATAAGAATTTTGTAGGCCTCTTCAAATAAATCCTGAAATCACGTCCTCATTAGACCGAAGTACAATCATTTGTGCACTGATTTATAAACATAATATAATAATGGCAAATACATAGTTATTGTAAAAACACACACCGACTGTAGTTCACATGAATTAATTTAGAGAATACAATTGTCACACTGAACGAAAGTTTACGCCTGTCACCCTAAGAGAAGTTCATGCATTGATAAAGAAATTATTGACCGAAATAATGTCATCATTTTATCTTATTATATCATTAGACAAATACATATTTAGTGAAAGTTGATTATTGATAACAACAAATTGACCTTCGTTTCTCAAGATGCTACTGTAAGATAAGCAAAAGGGGTTGATAACTAGGAAATTGTTAGTGTATGCAACATAATAAATTTTTCTTCAATTCTACGTTTCATTGGATAGATCACATTTGGCTGTCTACTGATTACTTACAAAAATACAACTGTTTGTAGTTCACCTAAACGTAAATTTCCTCAGGATTGAGGTATAAGTTTATTTTAAATAACTTCAGTTCGAAACATGATCTATCTAATCTCGTCTTCCATAAGTCTCCTGAATTACATGTAATTGAAATTTTTAACAAGTGTCATATACTAGTTCAATTTCTAATTGTTAAGATAATATCTTATTTTTGTTCATTTTGTGTTTTTACAGCTTCAGTCTTATAAGCCTGTAGAGGATGAACTAAGAATTGTCAGTGGTGGTACTGGTAATGTTACTGTTGGTAGCAGACCGCAACATCGTGTTTTAGCCAGACGAAAATATGGAATCTGCAGTCCACCAGCTTGTTTAGAAGAAATAAAGCAGGCATTGATTTCACAACAACATCAACAAACACATGAGAGGAATATCACAGATGATGATGATTAACCATGATTATTGATAGTGAAATAGTACCTAACATGTTTATGCGTATTCCTTTTTAAAGAAATTAAAAGGCAATAATAATAGTGAGATGGATTGATTGTATTTTATTTGTTCACAATATTTGTATCAAAAAGTGGGAGTAATCAATGAACACAATAAAATCGCTACAAATTCTCGTTTTTTCATTGACAATATGTAATTATATCGCCCACCCCATCCCTTGTTCTCTAAAATTGTATTTTTCCCACATTATGGAATGAATGCAAAGCAAATATGTAGACAGATATCAAAAACCCACAACAGAACATACACCATCATCATTAAACCTTATTCATTCATAGTCTTTCGCGACATAACAATAATCCCTCCAATTGTTATCATTTAACTTCATTGCTTTTCTCGTTATTTTTGCAATATGTATGTTTCTCTTTTGGTTTGTGACATTTTTTCTCTGTAAAAATCAACTATATACTCCATCGAAGAATCTTTATTTATTTATCCATCTATATACATATATATCCCATTCTACCTAAACTGTCAGTGCAAAGGTGGAACTTGATTTCATTCATACAACAATAGCGTTGACCATTCCTTTGTTCATTGGCTTTTCTTATCGCAATGATTTTCTCCTGCTCTCATTTCTACGCTTCTCTATGTTTTGTCTAAACAAAAACTGTCCTCTTTCTAAACACAGCATTTTACTATCTAATCATCATTGACTTTAAAATTGTGATTACATATTAACACTCCCTAATAAAATAATAGATATGGTTTCTATTGAACTTTTAATGAAATAGCACTTGTCACGTAATCCATGTTTTGCATGTGTATGTGCGACTATTTACATAATCATTATATTATTAGAGATATAGATACTTTGGTAGTAATTTTCCATTTGTCTATCTTTCATGTATCACGTAGTATGTACATATGAGCTGTGTATTGTATATTTTATGGAAAAACCCGGAGTAAAGCTATGTCATTATGTAACTAGTTGTATTTTGTATAGTTGCACTGATTGGATGATTGTGCCTAAGTTTTATGTTTTGATTTCCTATTCATTGCCATATTTTCTATAATTTCAGCGTTCTATTTAGCATATGTTTATTCACACCCACGAAGCCTTTGCGCTCCTCACATCCTAGTCCTAATAATAAATATGTATACATATTATTTTCTATTATTGACTCAATACATACATAAACATAGCAAGACGTAGTGTGGTTATAAAGTAATAAATATATATTATCGATTTCATCAAGGTTAACCTTGATATGATACAGATAGTCAGATCAACTGTAAACAAGTAAGTTGTTGAATGATGTCAGACTGTGTTGTTAAGGGGTCTATTTGGTAACAACGACCGCTCTGGTGTTGATATCAGTGAAAATAATGTATCATATCTGTTTATTATTGATAATATTTATTCATTAATAATATTTACGAATCTAAACGTTAAATTTACACAATAAGTCATAAAAAATGTATTTAGTGAAATAATTTTTTCAGCGATTTCATTCTCAAGGCTGTACAACCATATATATATATATATATATATATATGAATTAATGAATGAAAAATTACGGTCCAATGAATAACTGCTAAAATTCAGTTACTTGTGATGTGCAATTAGTCTACATAATCATCAAGTGAACAAATAGTTATTACAGTGGGTGGGAATTTACAGAACATGCGAAACATACAATCAATAGGTTGAACAAAATATTTGCCCATCGTTAATTTGAAATAATGTGTGAACAGTAATCTTGAGATCTGAGTAGTAATAATAATGAGATGTGGTCATTTTGTAAAATTCGGGAGGGAAAAATCTAAAAGAAAGAAAAAGAACAAATATATTAAACAAAACTATAGACTAGGGCTACGGTAACGAGAGAAATTAAAATTTGTTTTTGTTCAAAATTCGTGTTTCTAATTAAGGACAGTTAAAGCTTCTGTAATGTAAGGTAGGCTTGAAAATGAACTTTGGCTGGACTTTGTAGATGATGTCAAAGGAGCTAAATATTTTGAGTCTAGTACACATTCCACAGTAAATAACGTAATAAACTTTTGCCCTTACCTATGTTATACTGGTAGGTGCTTCCGAATTCGACGGAGTTTTTATCGAAATGCGTAGCTTCACAGGAGCAAGTAAACTGGATATATGCACATTATATTGGTCAGTTGTGGCAACTTATCTTGCACATGAGTATAACCACAGTAGTTAATACAGAGGTTTCTTTCCAGACGGTTAATCAATATACCACTGAGGTTTTCTTTCCTGAATTGAAAATTTATCTAATGAAATTTCTTATCGACTGTGGTTAAAATTTGTGAAGCTTATTTCTAATTCAAAATTTTCTTGAAAAATCCAAACAGATGTCATTTTCTCAGGCTGGTAGATACTAGAATGAATTAGTGGTCTAATGAACAAATTTTGAGATAATGTGAGCATAGAGAATGGATGACATTGTGTTTTGTAACTATTGCAAACCAAGTATGAGAATTTTCCAGTTGTCCATCCGAGGTAGCTTATCTATTGTATTGATCCATTTATTTTAGTAAATAAGACATCAAGAGAAGGAAGTGTTTATTCACATTCTCATTTCTAATTGATGTGTTGAAATTATTAAAAGACTGTAAAATATCTTGGACACTAGATTGTTCATCACATACTTTCAATGTGTTACTAATATACTTCCTATACTAAAAGTTTATGAATTGTCGTTCTTGAATTGCTAATTTTGATGCCAGCCAAGAAAAATCGAACAGTAAAGACCCACTGGGGAACCCAACGTTATGTACAGAAATATCTCATGATTATAGTTGAAATGTGCATTTAGTGTAGTTTCTTCTAAATAAAACTTAAGAAATCCTAGATACATACTATTAGTATTAATCTAACTACAAATAAAATACATGGTATATGCTAAATATTGCACATTTTAACTCAACTTTTCGATCTGCTATTCATGACTTTTACACAGGTAAGAAAAATAATCAGAATCTAAACAATATCTAATCATATCGATAAGTGGGTATATTTTAAATTAGTATATTTCTGTATGATATAAGCAAAATAATCAATAAGTTGTTAGCAGCGGCGACATCCATAGTATATTACGCGTGGATCTCATAGAATATGCATTTGATTTTATAATAAATGATTCAATAATTTTGGTTTGGCATTGATAACTTAAGTCATTTGAAATATTTTCAATTCTCGAATTCAAACAACCATGACGTCAAAATGCATTCATAATTAACAACAAAACTATATGATTTCTTGTCTTTATAATTCATCTGACATATTATTGTTTTAATAAATAAAAAAAAGATGATAACGATTATTTAATTAATTCATTTCGAAAAACTAAATTTAATTAAAAAAATATCAAATATATTTTATTACTTTCGATGAGTTGAATTTTTGGCGTAATACAATTCAAAGGTGAAATAATTATGGAAACAAGAATCATGTATCATTCCATTACGTAAATATAGTTAATGTTACGTAAATCATATCACATTACAAAAAAAATAGACTAAGTGATCGAATAAATACAAAGATTTTAAAGTTTAATATTAGATTAAAAAAAGTGAAAAAACCCGCACGTCGTGGGATTTTTGTAAATAACTATAAACTATTGTATTATTCTCGCAAATAGTGATATCAGTTTAGATTAGAGACTTCGCCAAGTAGATTGGTTGATTCCTCCAGTTACCGTATTACATTTTAAATTCGGGTAATGAGTAGTAATGGCTTTTCGCAACACATATTTACATGTTAGGCAGTTGGGGGTAATCGGCAGAACCTCAATCTAGGTTTTATGGCTAGTTGGCACTCGCCACTAAGATCCACTTGCAATCTTGAGGGTGCCTATTCTCCCTGTGCGATTTGAATCCAAATCACTAACCTTCAGAGTCCTGCCGACTACTTCCAACTTCCTAACACCTTCCTTTTTAAACGAACCATTTAATGAAATATGTTTATCTTACAATCATATATCCTGAGGACGAAAACTATAAAAAAACTCGTTATTATTTAAATGTAAACAATTTATTTGAGCTTGTTTGTATAAACAAATGTAAACATTTGAAATAAAAGAGGTGACTATTAGTATAACCAAGTCGGTAAGCATAAATATTACAGAGAAAAGAAAAATAACTTAACAAAGATATCTGTTAACCATTAACGACATGATTATTTATAGTTAATTGGTGACGAAATAATTTCAGTCAGCCACAACGTAGGACCAGGCACATTTATGCATCGGTCCAAGTTGCTATACCTCGTTAGCACAACAAGATGAACACCGAATTCATAGAAATAGTTAATTTAGTTGTGGTAATACATAAAAGATACGTTGTATATAAGGATATAGTACAGTACGGAAGACAGATATGACGCAATTTTAATTTCAAGGTTTAAGGGAAGATAAAGAGTGTATACACCTACACCATTGTGATTGATTCTGAGCCATGTCACACAAAGTCTCCAACCACTGGTTACGATAGTCACGCGGACCCCAACCAGGTAGTCTGCATCTGCCAACATGGCTTAGACTAGAAGTTAGTGACTTCAAGCACTGATGCCACTTTTGGTTTGGCCGCCTCTAACTCTCTTTTAACCATCCCCTATAGTAGTCAGCATTGCGCGTCGTGGTAATCGGTGTTCAGGCATACGTAACATGTGACCCAACCATCTCAGTCGATGAACATTTATGACCTTATCAACTGAATTAGCATCATTCCCTAATACCATGTGTCTAACTTCACTATTACTTACCCGGTGATCCCAGAAGATGCGAGCTATATTTCTAAGGCATCTGTGGAGAGATACAAGTAACTTACGAGTGTCTTCTACTTTTATTGGCCATGTTTCACAGCCGTAAAGTACAACAGAGCGAACTGCTGTGCAGTATACTCGTCCCTTAATTGATAGACGGGTATCTCGTATTCGCCACAGGTGACGTAAGTTGGCAAAAGCCAAACGAGCTTTTTGAATCCGTGCTGAGATTTCGTCAGACACCGATCAGACTACCAAAATAAGTGAAGTTATCGACGCGTTCGACTACTTCACACCCTATCCTTCGTTCAGGTGTTGACGCAGACCAGACATACATATTTAGACAACTGAGTCATTCTGGTCTGAGTACTAAAATAACTTATACCAAGCTTTGCTATATGTGTTCATTTTTGTACAAATTTAATTAATTTTTGTCTGTATGTATACGTATACTTGTTAGCTGAATGCAATTTTACTAATGACGTAGCTCTTCGTTGCACTGTTTAATTAAGGTTTACGTGTAAGTATCAAGTTGTAACCAGTATCGTAATATTAAAAATGATTAGGGTTTCTCCCTCTCCAATAGCCTAATTTTTCAACTTAAAATAACTTGATTTGTTGTTACGCAGTGTTTTATTTGATGGAAATTAATTCGCTAATGCAGCGTTGAAAATTTTCTATGTAGTTTCTACATCCTATCCGGTAAAAATGGTATTACAATTTAGTTAAATTTTATGCCATTATGTCTAACTAAGCAGTCCTAAAGCTGCTTAGTCTAGTTATAAAATATTTGTCTTCTAAATTGGAATAAACCTTTCTACTTGCATTCCCTAGTTCCTTCTTAATGCATCCTACATTTTGTATCTTAGCATCTACAATATATTGAATGCGAATATTCTTGCGACCTGTTTGGTTTTCATGTTCTATGTTAGAATACAGTTCGTAGACATGGATGTATCATCGAAAAACCGATAGATTTTTTTGGAAACATCAGAGAAAGTTGCTGTAATAAATCAGTGTTTAGCGAATTCACAAATATCGTCACCAAGTTTCTAAATAACTAATTGAAACGATAAAAAGCTATTCTCATCTAAAAAATAATATAGTAATAATCAATAAATTTGAATCAGAATGCAAAAATAAGAGTAACTAGATTGTTGAACACTATTTATCATCAATCAAAATGCATTCCCGAAATAATCGGTACAGTCACAGCTTTTCTGCTTGGTTATAGATTGTTAATTTTGATGTAGGATATCTTTTGTTTACATAATCTTCGATAATAGTTAGACAGATACTTCTTGTTCACTTTTTCCAGTTACTTAGTAATGCCGAACAAAATTGAAGATCCTACAAAAATACCATCTAATATATTGATGATTAGTTTATCAATGAATGTTCTCAAATGATTCTGACTAATCATTTCGAATAAACCATTTGATAAATACACTTAGTATTGTTTGTTTGGATCTTCCCATCGATGTGTTTAGGACTGCAACTGGTCAGTCTCTAATTGGCATATGTGCATACTGTGCGTATTGCCTCGATATACCTTAATTCACAAGCATGGTAAGCAGAGATGGATAGTGGCTATCAGGACTCAGTGGCCGAGTGGATAACGCGATGGCGTTTGAAGTGAGGGTACTGGGTTCGAGTCCCAGAGTGAACATCAACTCTGAGATGCAGGTACATCCAGCTGACGAGTCCCAAATAGGACGAAACGCGCGTCCTGGATTCCACTGCTAGCCACTATCCATCTCTGCTTACCATTTGATAAATACTTTCATATAAATAAACCTTGGTCATTCACATGATCTATATTAGTCAAATATATATTGTAATTACGTTATTTATCAACAGAACAGAGTGAACAACAATATTAAATAAACATGTACTAAGGTCAAATTCTATAGAGAATTTAATCAATACAGTAATAAATAACAAAACCTGGCGGTGATTTGACTTTT